TTCAGGTTAGGTTTCTTGGAGAGTGTTGGGGTCTGAGAGAGGGGTTTAGAGAGGTTAGAGAAGCCAGGGGAGGGAGGGCGAGGAGGCAAGGAGAATGCTGGACTTAAAGTCGGATAACCCAACACCGGGGATGGTGAAAGGAGCAAGAATAACAACAGACTTATCAGAGGCCCGATCGCACCCTAACAAGAGCCGAATAAAGTCCTGAACAAAACCCCAGCAAAAAACCCGGAGCCTTGAACCCTAAACCCCACAACTTGCAAGCCCCGAAGCCCTAATGAAAGCCCTCGAAGAACCCCCCTACACCCTCAAGCCTAAACCCTAAACCCTAAACCCTAAGCCCAAAAACCTAAACCCTAAACCCTTAAACCCTAAACCCTCCATGTCCGGGACACTTCGCGGCGCCCACCGCGCCCTTGCTGGAGGCGTCGGACCCCAGGGTGAACACGGCGATCTCACGGCTGTTGAGGGTTTAGGGTTTAAAGGTTTAGGGTTTAGGGTTTAGGGTTTAGGGTTTAGGGTTTAGGGTTTAGGGTTTAGGGTTTAGGGGTTCCAGCTTTTAGGGCTTTTCTGGATTGAGGTTTTAAGGTTTAGGGTTTAGGGTTCCAGAACTTAAGGCTTTTCAGGATTTAGGGTTTCGGGTTTAGGGTTCCAGGGTTCCAGGGTTCCAGGGTTCAAGGACGCGTTTCGGGGTTCCAGGGTTCCAGGTTTTAGGGCTTAAGGCATGGGGCTTGCCGTCAGTGTAGCGTTGAAGATACTGACTCTGCTTCGCACCAATGCGATGTGCAGCTGTGGCCCACCACAGCTGTAGGAGTCTAGGGTCTAGGGTTTAGGGTTTTAGCGTTTTAGCGTGTTAGTGTCTTAGTGTTTTTGTTTTAGTGCTGAGGTCTGAGGGCTTCGGGGAGGTTGATGCTTCGGGAAGTTCAGGCCCAAGGTTAGAAAGGCCGGGCCTCGTCCACCACGGCCAACACCACCAGGATCAGGTCCTTGGCGCAAGAGCCCCCCCCTTTTTGTTACTCCTATTATTATTTTTACTATTATGATTATTACATTTCTTTCTATTTTTATTGGTTTACTAAAATTCTTATCATTACTACTACTATTATTATTACTATGATTATTATTCTTCTTATTATTATTGGCAAGAGGCCCCACTACAAAAGAGACCTATACCCCTTTCCTATGAGGGACGATGTGGCTGGTGCTGGTGTTGTTGCCAGCGCTGGCGCTGGTGCTGCTGCTGCTTTCCCCTACTGTCCCGAGCTCTGTGCTCTTGTCAATTTCCTCATTTAAAAATACAAAAACCGACCACCGGTGCCTCACAACAAAGCCTTTCCAGGTGTCTCAACCTGTCTAGGCATGCACCTGAGTTTTTCTTGCATTTTGCATAGCATGTAGGGAGGTGTAGGGGCCTAGGGCCTTCAAGGTAGGTGTAGCCGCGGGCGTACTGAGTTGAGGTGAGTGTTGCGTCTTGAGTGACTTCTGGCAAGCTCAGAACGCTTAGGCTTAGGATCATCACCCCGACATGTCAGATCTGAGTTCAGCCGGCTTTGGTAGGTCCGACAGGTCCCTCGCGACACTCTCACAGAACCTTCACACCAGAGAAGGGCTGGGCGACCCCGCGAAGATGTTCCACGCCCTGCGCTCGCGGTTGATGAAGAAGTCGCACCGGAAATAGCTGATCCGAAGCAACACCTTCAGCTGGGCTCAGGATCCCCACCGAACCCCGAACTTGGTTTAGGGTTTTTAGGATAGGGTTTTAGGGTGGCTCAGGGCCCCCAAACACTACCCCAAGCACCCCGACAGACCGGCCTCCAAGAGGAAGAAGAAGTTGCAGAAGGAGGAGAGCACCTGCCCCAAAAGTCAGGTTTGCAGAGGTGGGAGTAAGCATCAGGGTGTTAGCACTTCTTTGCGGCTTCGGGCTTAGAGGGGCTTGCGGGCTTGCGTGGCTTTGAGGTCTCAGAGCAACTTTGAACCGCAAAGAGGGATTTAGGGGGTTACATATGGGCTTAGATCCACAATAGAGGATTGCAGATGAGGGCCCACCACCTGCAATCCCTCTGGGCTGCCAAAGGTTTGGGGTTCATCACTGTTGCACCAACCTGCGCCGGCCTGTATGACAGAGTTCTCCTGGCTGTTGGCGGCATCCCACTCGACCTCCCAGCCAACCACGAAGGAGTTGAAGAGGATCACAAACGCCTGGGCGGGTATTCGAATTGAAGGGAAATAAGACCTCAAGCAGGTATTCTTGGGATCATGAGCCACCCCTAATCGAGACATTCTTAGAGCGATGCGATCTTAGAGTCTTAGAGTCTGCACTTGGTATCACTTGGCTGCACCGGGCGTCGGCTATGGCATCGAAGAAAGGCGAGGTGACAAGGCAGCCCAGCGATGGCTCCTCGAAGCAGTATTTGGGGTCTCAGGGCGTAGCTTCCTGAACCTGGTTCTTAATAGGGTCAACATTCCAGATATTCAGGTTTTTTTAGGATCTATATTTCAGATTCGGCCCCGGGGGCCAGAATCAAATAATCTTCAGAAACAAAACAACATCGCGGGCCGGATCGCGGGTATTACTTTTCCGCTTGCCTCTCCCGGGTGCCTGGCTGTGTTTCGTGGTGTTTTTCTGCGGGTGTTGGCTGTTTTTCATCGTTTTCTGAATTGCTTCTGAATTATTTCTGAAGTCTTTCTGAATTGTTTCTGATTTTTTCTGGCTTTCTTTGTGGCTTGAAGTTCCGCGGAAGTGACTCTTACTTGTGATGTTTTTCTGGTTGTAATATTCGGCGGTTTCCCAAGCTTAACAGGCACAGATTGTCGTAATAATAGGGAATTGGAGAGCCAGGTACCCCACAGAATCCCTTAAAGGGGCTATATGGATTATTCACAGGGTTCTTCGGCCTCATGCCCTCATCAGAACCTCAAAACCGAAACGCTTCAGGATCCTTTCGCAAAACCCCCGGAAAGCCCGGCACAACAACACCAGGTGTCGTGTTCACTGTAAAAGGGGCTTTGGGTTTTGGATTTGAGGTTGACAGTGTGGGGACTTGAGGACTGCAAAAAGAGACCAATATGAATTTGCACTCATTCCTCAGGAGGCTCGCTTTGGGAGCGGCAACTGGTTCTCAATCTCAGAAGGACAAGCCTAAGCCAGTGCCAGCGCGAGCCATGAATAAAGACTCAGAACCCTGAGACCCATGGAAACACCCCCGGATGTGTTGGGTGTTGAAAGTTTTGGGTTTAGGGCCCCGGTGGTCTCTTTGTTGAAATTGAACGTGCTTTTCTGCTCCATCCTTGACTTCCTTTATGTGCTCCTTCTTCTTTGGCCCTAGGTGGCATGGCTTGGTTCCCCCGTATTGGGCGAATGAGCTCACAGAGCGACATATATAAGTCCCAATAGTCCTGATATTCTTTCGCATGCAACCCGACGTTGCTTTCACATGGTCACACCTGACTCCAAATCCTACAACCCTGAGGCCAATTGTCGAGCCCCCCCGCACAAGCGTAAACCCTACCCAAAGTCCCGAAAATCAACATGCCCTGCTCTCACCTTGTCGCACGCGAGATCGAGGCGCCCGCCCAGGACGCTGGAGGTCCGCTCGTTGTACTCCGCGAGCCTCGCAAAGACGCGGGGGACCGTCGAGCGGCAAGTCTAACCCTGAAACCCATGTTGAAACCCATGTTGAAACCCATATTGAGGCCCGTATTGAGACCCGGATTGAAACCCATTGAAACCCATTGAACCCCCCCCCAAACAAAAAATCCGCCTCTTGCGAATCATCTTGAGCTCCTCGTCTTTGGCGATGCCACCCGAGCGCCGCCGCGAACGGTCGACCCTGAAAGGACGCAAGGGAGGCGCAATGCTTGCGTGTTTTTGTAAGGGCTGTACGATATTAGGGGTACCTTATTGGGGTCCGTATTATAAGGGGATCCTACTACTTGGAGATCTACATTGGGAGTCCCCTATTTTCGTAAAATCCCATTTAGGGTTTAACGAGGGTTTGGGTATTGAGAAGGATGTCCGCTCGAGCCGCTCCACAAACTTCAGAGCAGCCAAGAAAAGCTCTAATGCATCGATATGGCAGTTGGCTTGCGACAGATTTTTCACTGCGCAGTTCCTTGAATACTGGTATGTGCTGCCACGGAAAGAAAAGCATTCGGTCTTCGACCGTGTCAGAGTTCGCTACAGAGCAACTGCAGCCAAAAGCACACAGAGCCCTCCGGACCACTGCATTGGTGTGGTTGTGAAACAGCTGCAGTCTCGAATACACTTGAAAAATCGGATTTCTGGTGAGGCCAAGCCTCTCAGCCCCGATAGGACCCCATAAGGGGTTTAAGGGAAAGGAAGGCAGCAAGCCTCGTTCCCGGAGAGTTAGGGCTTTGCACGCAGACGTGAATAGAAATTGCCGCTACACTGCAGCCACGGCAACCTTGGAAACGGCTGATGGGAAACACAAGGAACTTCGTGTGTATTGTGTACTCCTCATGAGATTCAAACCCCTTCAGCCGTTCAGGGCCAGGGCGTTGACAGATCGGCAAGTTAGAGTGTTGTGTCACAACGACACTGTCAAACAAGCCTGTCCATGAGGAGGGTTCCCAGCTCACGCACGTTCGCAAATGCTTGATGCGCAGTGCGGTCTTTAAATTGTCGGCCAAATGGCCAGAGCGAAGACATTTTCGCTCACTTGCGCGCCTTCTTGGATTTCAACAAATGGTGCACGACGGAGTCCGGAAAGCTCTGCTTGCAGAGGAAAACCTGCTCTACTATCTTGAAGCCCTAGCTGGAGTCGATTGCTGCTTGGCCTAAGGGCTTTAGGATGGCTCAGGATGGCTTCGGATGGCTTAGGGTTATACAGGTGAGCATCTACGAATCTAAGCTCGAAGGGCACGCAAAAGCTTCCTCAGAGCACCCAAGGAGCCACATCACGGTAAATCTGCGGGTGTTGCTTGCACATGGCATGGAAGGCGGAAGCAATCACCTTGTTCTCCGAAGCCAGTTCCTCGTCACGAACTGCCAACTCGAGCACGATCTTGGAGATGAGTACCTTGTGGTCTAGACCGTCCATGGGCGGAAAATGCACGAGGGACATCAGTGCGGAAGTCAGCACCTTCAAGTTGAACGTATCGAGATGCCACTTCAAGACCACTGGCGTTGCACAAAGAACAAGCTCCCGGATGGCGGGCTTGATCTCTTGGCCCATGTCTGCGTGACGTCGGCACAGCTCTGCTACTGCCCACATCAAGTTGGTCATCTCATAGGATTGGCATTCCGCCACACCTCGTGAAGCCACCTTGAGTAACGCGGCGAAGAGTGAGCTGCGAAAGAGATGCAAGGATGCACAGGACCAGGCCAGGATGGTGCTCACGTTTGCAGACATGCTCTTGTCCCGGTTTTGCAGCTGGCGCTCGGCAAACGCCTCAGGAGACAGCTTTTTGTTTGATAGAGTTCGGGGTTTGGGACATTTGGGGAATGAATGTTGACCATGATGCCCACTGTCCCACCCCCCCTTCCTTTGGGCTTCTGCTTCTATGACCGGCCTCTGCCACATCCAACATACGGAAGAGCACCGGATGGCGACGCCGCTTCTTGCTGGCGTCCGACGTGGAAGCACGAGCCAGCCGGTGCAGAGCCGTGGAGATGTTGATGGCGTTCATGGAGCCCAGGTGGGCCTCTGCCAACCCAAGGATCCTCGACCAGACATCGGCTGCAGGCGCTTTGCCTGCCTCCACAATCTCCGCATTCAGCCGCTTCTGTTCGACATCCATGGTAGTAGCGATGGACGGGGGCAGCTTTGAGGTGCGATTTCTTGGACTTGTGGAATTCGCTAAATCCGGTATGGTGGCCAAGATGGCTGGCCCTGAGTTGCCTGAGATGCCTAAGCCCGGGGGCGGACGAAACTTCGGTTTCTGGGTCTTCATGTCGCCTCCATAGACGTAGAAACCTCGGCTTGGGCAAAATGGAGCCCCTCCCCCTCCCCTCCCCGCTTGGGGGGGGGATATCCCCCCAAATACAACCGACGAACCCCCCTCCACGGCCCTAGAAAAGGTCATCAGCACCGCTGCAGCCACCTATTTAAGTGCCCGGTGACCCTCCGCGACCGAGTCTGCTACCGCGCTATCTTCGGAGCCGGACCCCAGAAGCTCGTGCTGGGGAGTGGCCGTTTCCTGGGTGCTTTGTCCAAAAGAAGCGCGGATGCTTGAAAGGTTTAGGGTTTAGGGTTCAGCGTTGCTTCGTCAACCCACTAGTCCCCCTGACTCCTGCAGATCTTCTAACATTCGATCACCGGCAGCCGAGCTTCACATTCGGAAGACGACAGGCCCCACTCGATCGGATACTGTTGCAACGCCGCCTTCAACATAGGCCCAATCTGAAGGTCTGTTACCGCTTTGCTGGGACCGAATTGTGACGGCTATCTGCCTTTTTGCTTCGAGCAAACATTGCGACGAACCAGACATTGCATGCAACCTTCGATGATTCTTCGGGGCCTCAGCCAGCATGATCACGAGATCCGACAGCATCCCGCCGACCCCTTTCATTACATTCAGAGAAACTTTTTCGAACACTGCTCTTTCTTTGCGTATATTTGCTTTCTGTCCTTGTCTTTGTCTGTGTTCTTGCTCTTGTACCTGTAGAGTAACAGGAATTCCTCTTGTTTCAATACATGCAAAAGGAAAAACTCCACTTGCTTTATGCTTGAATCGGAAACCTCTACTGTCTTTAGCTACTCCAACCTAACAGAGAAAACATGGACTTTTCCTATATGTTGATATAAATTGATAGGAAACCACTGCTATCTGACCATACTTTCCCACGAATGACCTCCATATTATGCCATCGTAGACCCCAAACAGTGAGACATCAACAGACCACGGCTACGCGTTTCGCGAGCCCAGACAGCCAAAAGGAGCGACAGCTTCGCGTTTCGCAGGCGAGAAGTCAAAAAGCGACGATACTTTCGAAGTTTTCATGTCACGTTGTGAGTTGCAGCCCAAGCCATTCTGCAGAAAGGCTGCTCCACTTGCAAGAGAAGTGATTAAGGGTGTACAACTGCAAACACACAAAAAAAAGTACGGTACCCAAAAACCTATGGGCCCTCCTCATGTAAGGCCCAGAGCGCAAAAACACCTGGCCCGTAAGCTGAGGTTTGGGGTTTGGGGTGTTCCCAGGGTAGAAGACATCGGCCGTTTTTGCCCGGCACCCTTTGCAGCCCCTTTGCAGCCTCTTCGTGATGACTGACGGCTCCTGAGCCTCCGTCGGTTCGTTGGCCACGGAGGCCTCCTTCCGAAGCGACTGAAGCCTAAATGGGTTGTAGGGCTTGAGGGTTTTGGGCGTTCTTCCCTTAACCCAAGAAAGCCCTTTAAAGGAAGCCCTTGTCAGTCCTACGCTTAACTCCAACTGTCCTCGAGCCAAGGCCCCCCGAACCAAGGGCCCCCCAGGCTTGACTGACCCAAGCGGATGCCAGCAAGAGCCACCTTTGCCAACGTTGTCACAATTCTAACTCGGGTTTGTTGCTTAGCGTTGGATGGGAAGGAGAGCGAGATAGATGGATGGGAAGATAGGCGAGAGTAGGTTGGGCTGAACTAGATGTAGGCTGGAGTTTGACTAATACAAAATACAGAGCAGCCCCCTACACAGACTCCAACATGAAACCAAACGAAACCTTGGTAGGGCCTCAGGCGTGTCCAGTGCCACCTCTCTTGGCTCCAACACGCCAAATGCCTTTGCCAGGCGGACCCAGCCCCCCTTTTAAGCTTCAGATCCCGGCTCGCCGCTTCCCCAAAAACCCTTGACTCAGTGGCTCACAAGAAGGTTAACTCAGGGGCCACTCGCATTGACCCTTCCCCCAAAACCCTGCTCCACAGCAAAAAAAACACCCTAACGAAACCGCCGCACCTCCTTTGAGAACACCGGTCTCGAGTTGAGGCTTGAGGATTTCGGTCTTGGGATTTGGGGTGCACATACGTCAGCATTTACGCCGCCCCCCCACCCTCCCCCCTCCACCCCCCTCCCCCCCCCCAATGTCATCCGCCCCCTGCTGTGGTTAATGTTGGGTCACGCCTTTTTCTTTGTTCACTTCGTCGCAGACGAAGCCCAAGACGCTAAGCCTAGACCCCTGTGTTGAGGCTCTGGAAACCCTCCCCCCTTTTGAACCCTTAGGACATCCACCCCCCCTGAAGCCTCTGAACTCTGAAACCACCTGAACCCTAACTTTCCAAAATCCCTTGAAGCCTAAAACCCCAAACCCGTTGAACCTTGAATCCCTTGCACTCGGTAGGGTCCCACACCATCGCTTTCTGTGAATTCTCTGCCTGAAGCTTTGGCCAGTGCTGAATAGGGAATCAGGGGCTTAGGGATTAGGGTTGAAGGCTGAGGGTTGAGGAATCAGGGGACCAGGTGAAGACACGCGCCAAGTGCCGCATTTGTTCCTCCTTTTTTGGTCTGATTTCGGAGGGGGAGGAGGGAGGCAAGGCTACCATTCAACCCGAAGCCTGACTTTGCAAACAGTGCCCGGAACAACAAGAATTAAGAACCCAAAGCTCATGAAACTCAAAACTTGCAACCCGCAAACCCAACAATCCAAACACCAAAGCAGCGCAAACCCGCCACTACACGGCAGATCTCCCGAAAGCGTGAGAAAAAAGACTCACAAATGAGTGTTCAGACGGAACGTACTTGTCCAACGTTCCAAAAACATGACAAGCAGCGGATGTTCGAACAAGATGCACACCAGCAGCAATTACTCGCCATAACATCCCATATCAACGACCATGAATTTTAACATGTCAACGAAAGAAATCCGCACAACTCAAGAGGAAGCTGATCTTGATTCCTGAAGCTGTGGTGAGATTAACAGGTCACAACAAAACCCATCGTAGGATGAGCACCAACAGTGCGCGACGCGCTTCACTTTAAACGGAATTTGCCAAGGTTGCACATTTGTGCCCCTGGGATAAACAATGTAAGTACCGCACTAAGCGCGGTAGGCTCGTGTCACAGAGCGAGAAAGCGACATTGTCGGAATCGTCGGCGCTAGCGGTTATGATGGTAGGCGCGCAGGAGTTCCTGTGGCAAGGGCTCCGTCTCGGCACCTGACAGCTCGATCGAGAGCCGCCGGAGCAAGGCGTCGCCCCAACGGTGCAAGTAGATGCCATTGGAACCCAGCACCGCATCACGCCAGGCAATCATCGGTGCAGTACGGAAGGCCGACAACCTGCCAATCTCGATGTTGTTGTAGTAGCCCATCACACAATGCATCTCCCGAGGAAGTATGTGGTCCAAGGTGATTGTGTCTGGGTTTGACGGAGGGAAGGATGCACTACCTTGGCTGTTGCTGTGCACCTTCTCGTAATACTGCGTGACGAGGTCGCGCAGGCCCTCGGCGACATCCCCGCAATCCTTGTTCTCCGCGTTGTGCAAGTACACCAGATTGTGGTTTGCGTCCATCTCCTTGAAGGGATCGATGACAGCATCCATCGTCAAGTAGGAGTCGGTGTCCATGCGCATCCAGTAGGTGTACTTCTGCAAATCCGGAATCTGGAAAATGTCGGCGAAGAAGAAGCGGCACATGTGCTGGTAGCCCCAAGTGCTCCGCTTCTGCCACTCCGGCTCGGTGCCCGCCAGGTCGGCTGGCAGCTGGCGGAACTGGATTGGCACGACGCAGGCGTCCCTCGGCGCAGCCCTCTGCAAGACTGTCTGTAACTGCTCCTCGGACCAGGTGTCCTCACGGTCGTAGAATACCCTGACCTCGGCTCTGCCGTCGTCCCTCAAGTGCATCAAGGTCTCCAAAGATTTCTGCAAGTCGCCCCAGTCGTCGCCCTGGGGTGGTGGGGCGAGGTAAATGATGGCGGCATCATGTTCGCGCTCCCGCCGGCATTGCTCTGGCCCGACGCTGAGCACCCTCGTGGAGGTGCGCAACAACTTGTCGTTGGGACGCAGGGAAACGGCGCCGCTCCGCTTCGCAGCGAAGACGATCAAGAGCAACGTGGAGGTAATCGTGGAAGGCATGAGTGCTTGTCCCCACGACGGGGGATGGTTTGTGGAGTTCTATATCGGAACAGCTCGAGAGATTGGGATCAATTGCACGTCAATAGACATGTTCGGGAAAGAATGAACAACCGACCTCAAACACCACGTGGTCAATTCTTTGTCACAATAGAACTGCTATGCGCAGGCGTGGTGCTTTGGGACAGTATGTGTTGATGTGCATTGTAGGGTTTGGTTTGGGAGGAGCAGGCGAATCTCGAAAGCCGTCCATATGGTATGAAGCGACCTGCATGCATGTCGCTCTTTCTTTTGTGCGCGATCGGGTGCGGTGGGTGGCGTACACGCATCATGTGTAGACGTGCGTAGAAACGACTGAATGGGAACGTGATTGCTGGAATTACAAGCACACCCTCTACATGCTTATGGGCTGCCTTCAAGGTTTCAGGAAACTGTAGCGTTTCGGGGCTCAGCTTTGAAGGCTTGTAAGCTTGCGAGGGCTTCAAAAGGGGCTTCTGGGATTAGGACCACCACAGCCAAGAGTCGCGCAACCCAATCCTAACCTGAGCCCCACAGCGCGAGCCCGCACCCAGAGCAAAAGGCCCCAAACACGAAACGGATTTCAAACCCTGAACATTGATCATAATCGCAACATGCCCTCCTGAGACCCTGAGCCCCTCATTATCGCCTCAGAGCCCTTTGCCCGCAGGTCGGCGAGGAAGGCGCCCTGCCTCAGCTTTGTCTCGCTCTCGTTTGGGCGGTTCAGGAACGCTTTGGATAGGTCGGGGAACTTGGGGTGCGTTTGCTGCTGTTGTGGCGGGGACGGGGGCACACTCACTCATTAAACAAAAAGAACAAACACATAGCTAGGCGGGAAACAATCACCCCCAGTTCCCACACATGTATGCCCCTGTATGGCAGCATCAAACTTTCACTCGCCCGAAAATTGACACTACCATGCTCCTGGGACCCCCAGCACCCGAACACCCAAGCTTCACCGAAGCTTCACCCACACGGCCGCAACCAAAAAAAGGAGAAACAGCCCGCCGAACCCTACGACCCCCACCAAAAACCACTCAAGGCGCCAAAGCCTCAAGTCTTCAAAAATGAACCCTCCCTCCCTAAACCCATAACCCATAACCCCTAAACCCTAAACCCTAAACCCAAACCCCAAACCCCAAACCCTGGACAACCTACCTTTCGACCCCCACAGAAAGGCCGCGCCGCGCTTCCATCTGCCGGAGCTGCGCCTGGAGCTCCCCGGCGAGGCGCTGCGCGGCGCACAGCGCCTCCTGGAACTGCGCCTCGGAAGGCAGGGTTTAAGGGCTTAAGGGTTTTAAGGGTTCAAGGGTTTAAGGGTTCAAGGGTTCAAGGGTTTGAGGGTTTAAGGGTTTAAGGGTTTAAGGGTTGAAGGGTTTAAGGGCTTAAGGGTTTAAGGGTTTAAGGGTTTAAGGGTTATAAGGGCTTACTTAAGGGTTTAAGGGCTTAAGGGCTTAAGGGTTTAAGGGTTCAAGGGTTTAAGGGTTTAAGGGTTTAAGGGTTTAAGGGTTTAAGGGTTTAAGGGTTTAAGGGTTTAAGGGTTTAGGATACTTAGAGGGGTGTTTCAGGGTTTTGGGACTTTGAGCTTTTGTGGTTTTCGGAGAATACTGCAGGCCGTCGATTGAGGGAATCAAGGGAATCGTCATACCAGTAAGAAGGCAGGAATCGCACACCCAAAGAGCTTGGTACTCAAAAACCCTGAACCCTGAAGGCCTGAGCCCTTGAAACTCCCATGAAAACCTTGAAAAACTGGTTTAGGACTCGGAAAAATTAGCAGCGTTTGCGTGTGGAAGGGTTGGTGTCCTGGCCTCTGGGTGAAGTAGTGCATCTGAACCTCAAAGTTTTGGTGCGCGGGGGGGCACTGTCAGGCTTCCTTGACGGTCTGCCAACAGCGGCTTGTTGGGGTTGGGGAGGTTTTGAGGGTTGCGGCATGTGGGCTTCATATGTATGTATGTATATATATATATATATATATAGACATATACCAACATCCCATAAAGGCATAATGGATATTGTCATGTTGTTGAGTGATGCCCGAGACCATGGCGGTCTCAAGCCTCAAAGACAGAAACTCCAAAAAAAATGAAACCAAAGCTAAAAACAAGAAAAAGATTCCGAGCACTAGTACTCAAACCGAAATGCAAAAAACATAGAAAAGATCCGGGACACTCACTAGTCACAAATATGTTCGTTGTTGTTGGGTCTTGGTGTTTTTGTGTTTGTTCTATATCTGTGTTTGCCTTGGTCTGGTCATTATTTTGGTTTCCGGCTCTGGGCCGGAGGGGTCTCCCTCTACCCTAAACCTTCAACCCACACCCTAAACCCTAAACCCTAAGCCCTAAACCCTAAACCCTAAACCCCCAAACCCGAAACCCCAAACCCTAAAACCCTACACCCTAAACCCTTTGATACAAAAAAACATGTTTCCTTGCAGCTGCCTTCAGGCTTTGGTGGCTTGGCGGTGGGGAAATCTATTTCAGGGCTAACTGAAGCAAGTAAGCGACCTATACTGGGATGTTCCCCTTATACTAACAGTCCTTGAAAGGCATTATAGTATAATCCCTATTAACGACTGTTAGTGGGGAACATCCCAGTACAATTTCACTACCAAACAACAAATGCAGTGTCCACTGTTCATACACGGCTGCCCCTCAAATTAGAAGTACAGTGACGAGGAAGGCTAGCTGTGTTAAAGGCGGCCAATTCCATAAGCTAAGCTACATGTAGAAGGGAAAACAAAGCACAACGCTGCACTTCCTACTTGCACAAGTCTACCCTTCACATTCGTAGCATCATGAGGCAGAAGCCCAATCTAGCTGCAGTAACGAATTTGTCTATGTGGAAGAAGACTAGCATTGCGTAAGGTTTCTGTCTTTTCAACCCTCCCTCAGATTAGCAGTACAATGGCTCGGTATGTTAATGAACTCAATTCGAATTAGCGAGGGCCAGCTGCCTTCAATACAAATAACCCTTCGACATGCTTCTCCGCTTCGTCATTTGACTAGTTTAACCAAACTGAGGATAGTCTCCCCACGATCGACGCCGCAATGTATGGGCGCATCACGCACGAGAAGGCTGTACTAAACAAAAACACAAGTCTTTAAACGTACTAGTGAAAACGGGGGTGTTGGAAAAACATGTGCCTAGGGGAGGGACCATCGGGCCAGCCACGTTTCACAAAGATACACACAGACATGGCCCATAAGGATTTCTTCATACCTGTGGCAAGGCCACCTCACACACCCTTCCAACTCCAACGCCCTGAAACGTGCAAGCCTGGACATGCAGCCCCAGAAACTCTTCATCCTAGGCCCCCCAAACCCCGAATACCCCCCAAAAGAACCCAAAACCCCTGAACCCCTAACATTCCTCAAGCCCGAACCCCGAAACCCTAACAGCTGAGTCCCTAACACTCCTCAACCCCTCAAGTGCACATCCAGGGACCGATGCTCTCGTTGCAGGGCCGGTGGAGCGCCGAGGCTAGCGGCAGCGACCTTCCCCGAAGCTCAGGGAGTTCGGGTTTAGAGTCTTTAGAAGTTTAGGTCTCAGGATTGTAGCCATGCAGGTATGTGGGGGTAGGGGTTCTTTAGGATTTTAGGGGTTTGAGGTTGAAAAGTGTGAGGGCTTAGGGGATTCGTGTTTGTTTACCAGGGATGCTCAAAGAAGTTGAGATCGAGCCTTGGCCTGAGTCTCCACAGCGGGACAGACCAAAACAACTTAACCCTGATCCCGAAACACAAAACCTCACATAGCGTGTCCCAAGGCTCCCCAGCTCGCAACTGAAAACATAGATGTGGCAAGCCGACACACTCTTCAGGCTCTGGTCTGGGTCACCCTGCCCTGATTCCATGCTTCACAGCTGCCAGGGCAAGATAAGCATGAAAGCAGACAGGACGCTTGTGTTTCCCACACTCTACCCGTCGCGGATGTGATTTCAATGGCCGGAACAAACCCTCGGCTCGATTCATGACTGTAATGCCACACGGGGTGTGTGGCCCACGCGACATTCTACATGCATGCGGAACATGGTGGAGCTTTGGGTGCTTGAATTCTGAGACTGAGAAAGCCATTTGCACATACACGCAGAACCTTGAACAATTCGGAACGGATCTGTGACTTCCACTGATGAGCAACAAGTCTGAAGGTTGAATCTTGCAACTCAAGCTTTGTTTGGCACCATGCGGGGTGCCGACAAAACTCTCAATGTGTCGCCACCACCACCACCACAATCTTATCTTCTCTCCAATACTACGTAAGTGGCAAAGCTGGGAGCATCATCCGCGTCCGAAGAATGACTGACTTTCGGCCGACTCTGAATCAAGATGAACCAGGAAGCAAATGAATCGTGGTGCACTACAAACTCGTGCCCCAGCTTTGTGAGAACTCGTGCAAACAGGCGGTCCGTCAGTTTGCACTTCCAGACTTGTGTGCCGAAATATCAACCGACAAAATTTGAAACCTGCTTCAGAAGATACAAAACTTAGAAATAAATTAAACTAAACAACATACTACACAAAATTACGAAAGCTCCAAAAGCTACAAAAACTACAGCAAGTACAAAATTGCCAAAACTACCAAAACGAGCTGGTCATTTTCTTGGCCCCGAAATGTCTTTTTCTTGACATCCTGTTTGGTTTTGGAAACAAATCTCAGGGTCACAAAAACATGAATCCTTTTTCAACCACAGTTCAGGGAAAAGACAAGATCTTAGATCACCTTCAAGATGTTTTTGATTTGACCTCCACCAACTTTTCCATCCTTGATCATCTCTGTTTTTCGTGATTTTTTCAAGCCTCGGAACTGGTGCTTCAAACAATTTTGTTTTTCTTCAAGCCCAATTTGGCGCCTCGTAATCTTTTTCAAACCTCCGCAGTGTCTTTTTCCTACTCCAAATCTTGTTTCAGCGGACCAGAAAAACATCCGGCACGGCCGACAGTGGTCGGAAAAAGGCTTTTTGCTGCAATATTGATAGGATCACCTACCAA